CTGCTTTAGTTGACATCAAGTTGCCTCTGTCAAAGGATTCGAAGTTCCGAAGAAAGTTTTTCTAATACTTTTAGCATGCTTTACCCAGAATAAGATATTTAAATTAAACAGTCAACAATTTCTAAGTTATACTTGAAATCAAGTTTAATTAAAAGTCCAGTGATTGATATATATAAATATATCTAATATATGCTCCCGTATTAATTAATTGTAGATGCACTTAAAGTTAACTCCAGAAAAGTGGTTAAGTTACCAGGTTAAGTTAAGTTAAGAGACTGAAACTTAAATATTTAGTTAGTTTAATACACTATCTATTGTAATAAGTACATAACTAATTTCTATAAACTTGCAAGTCTTGTTTGTAAGCTCTTTATAGGACCCATATATATCTGTACCACAGCTGCATTGAAGTCCACTGCTTTTATCATAACTCCTAAAATTTTGAGCAATGTGTTAACCATCACGCCGCCATCTAAAACTTATATTTAAACGCTTGAAAAATCGTGTTTTTAGCAGAGTTTATCTTCAATATTCATTTCAACTATATCATGGAACGCTTATGTGTATTCCCATGCAAATATCCAAAGGAAATTATGCTCGGATATTATCTGTAAAACTTCAAGCTGACAGAATTTCAGGACGCAACTATTAAGGTTTTATAGATGATTATTCCTATTTGTAGAAGAAATTGAGGTGTTGGTTATAAAGGTATAACCATATTGGATAGGTTATTTCCATTGGCACTGCTTGTGAATGCAATTATTTGGCGCGACAACTAGCGAGCTTAAATCGAGTAGTGCTTTTCCGGGTATATATATTTCATGTAAAAAATTTTACTGCATATAAACTTAAATTGATTCTCTGAACCGAAACTTTTTTGTGGAACTCTTTCATAATAAAATTTAAAATAACAATCAAAAAATGTTGCTACTAGTACGATATTCCAGTAAACCACCAAGCTATGTGTCTTTTTTATTACCTTGCTTATAAGGAACCCCTCTCGAATAAAAGAAAAGTCTGAGATTCTTCTCGGGTATTGTATAATTTCACCTTTCGATTCAAGGAATGTGTGAAAACCAGAATTTGAATAATTAACACTTAACAGAAATTATGTTAAAAGAATAGAAGGAGAATCACTTCTAATAATAAGCTGCCTTGAAGAGGAAGTCTAATGAAATTTGAAACGTCTTCTATATCTCTATAGCTAATAACTACATAAAATAAAAATAAATATTAAAAGCTCAACTTAAAAGTTCTTTATTAAGAGTTCCAGAAGTTTTTAATATTTCTAATAAGTACAAAAGGTCCAATGCGTTCAAATATTTATGATAGAAAAAAGTTATTTATTTTATATTTGATTATTTACTTTACCCATTTGTGTCATGTATATCGTGTAATGTAATTTAGAAGATTGGGCATTGATCCAAAAGATTATTAATCCCTCACACAACATCGAAGAGTTTACCATTGTGTTAACCGTAGTAAATCGAACTAAATCGAATACAATAATTTTTATTAAAATCGGTCTAAACACCTATCTTCCAAAAACCTCCTCATAGTATAACAGCTATAATTATTTTTTGAAATGATTTTTTTGAAAAAATATTATCTACCAAAATTGAAGGGAAAAAATCCTTTCCTTAATACAACCAAAGTCCTTACTTATAACTGTCAAATTTTTCATGTCTGCATATATTAAAAAATATCTTCCACCACAATATCTTCGTTAGCAGCTTTCATATACTCATTTAATGAAAGGTATGCGTAAATTGAGAAAACCCAACTCCATCCGCACAGAAAACGGGATGAAAAACTTTTATTTATCCAGGCAGGCTCAAACCGTAGTGCCTACAGCAGAAAAGCAACTCTTGCACTCCGCAGCTCTTGGGTGGCTTGGGTGTACGGCAACACGGTCTTCGCTTTAGTGAAAGATAAACAATAATTTTGATTTGTTGCCAGAGAATACAGTGCGGAGCAACAATTAAGAGGTATGCGTGTGTTGGAGTATCCAACTCCAGTTCTGCACTGGCAATGCCAATTGTAATTTGTCGTTTATATCAAATCAAAATGGCGTAACTTGCCCGGCTACTTGAGGGGGTGTTTGAGCGTTCGCTTTGGCAGTGTGCACACTGGTCTTACTCGGTTCACTTCTGATGTTTACTGTGGGGTTGAGCAGTTGATAAGACTAATTAGAATGATTTATGCGCAATTGGTTTAGTTCTTCGTGTAATTTATGGTGATTTAAAGAGTTTCGAATGTGAACAAATACCAGTTTTGGTAAAAAGCGCATATATTTCAGTTTGCGGACTGTAATTTAGATTTATTTGTTTGCACAAATAAATAGAGTTTCATATGTTTAGATATTTGATATGATTTTTTTTCTTTGTCATATATTTTCGAAACTATCATTATGACTAGATTATATATTTTTTCGCCAATATGTGTCTGCATATGTCTCAAATAGATAGACTTCCTACTTATTATAGTTGTTTAATGATATTGAATTATTATTTATTATCCATTTATTATTGATAACTTATTAAAGCCAATAAATTTCTATAAAAATAATTCAGTTTTTCATATTTTGGAACTATGATTAGTTGGCCCAAATAAACTGTTACTATGTTATGGCCTGCGCTATATATAGAACTTCACAAAATTAGTTTCAGTGCATGCAACCCAAGTTTCTTACGACCACATAGAGTGGGTTTGAGCAAAAAAAGGTCTTATGAAAAAACTAACTAAAGCAAATGAACTTATATGTAAAAAATATTTACGGATAACTTTATTTTTTTCAACTGACTGCTGTTCCTAACTGTACAGAAAAATATGCCTTCAACTCTTTTATGAAAAAGTGTGAACCTTGCCAAGTCCAAACGAATCCAAAAAAAGTAAAAATCTGCGTTAGTCAGTGTAGCCAACAACCGAGTTCAAAATAAGTTGTGGCTTAGTTTTTTTTAATTTTTATTTTTTTTTTGCTTAAATCAAAACTTAATTCTTAACAATTTTTTTGTGAGAATAATTTTTTGCTCTTAAATTGTATATTTTATATATTCTCTATATATTCTCTACATAAAAAGCAATTTTTTTTTTCTCATAAGTACAACTCCACTGTCAGTTTTCTGCAGGTTGTTACAGTTTGTCCTCCTGATGCACTGCTGCAAATGATGACAATTGTCGGCATTTTTGACTTTTATCACAATTTTTTTAGATAAATACACCTTATTATTTGTTATTGCACTCGTATTTATTACCAACAGTCATAACAGATATTTTTTTCCTGTTGGAATTTATATTTTCACATTTTGCCGCTCTTTTGAGATTAAAACAAGAAAAAATCCAGGAATATCACAGATTTATGCTGAGCTTATGGTTAATACTTCGGCAAAGGATCAAGCAAAAATATATTTTTTTTTAACAAAGATTTATGAATTATTTATATAAAATGTGCTAGTACCTTTTGAACATAATTACAATAAATAATTTTTTGTGTTTAAACTTTTTTCTCAGTGCTTTGATTAAGTTGCAGTTGCAATGACTTTTTTTGGTTACAAAATAACAACTGTAGAGATTGGAGTAAAATTTCCGACGGAATGTAGTGGAAGACAGTTTATGGTATGCCCCATGTTAAGGCTATTGTACATAACCCCAGAAAATTGCAGCAATATGTGTTAATTTTCGTAAAAAATCCATACGAAATCTTTATGTGTGTGTTATTCTTGCCTTTCTTCGGTACATTTTCATACCAAAATTTCCTTTATTGGAAATCAATATTGTTTAAAAATATAATATATATTATTATTTGTGACCACTTGCCATTTTTCGAGTGGCCATCAGTGTGGAACTTCTACGGTTTATCGGTACTAATTTTTTATTATAAAGACAGTTTTGCAAGGACCCCAACAAATTGTAGTCAGATCATATAAGGTCCGGGTTATACGGTGTATGCAACAAAGCTTTCCGACAAAGTTCCATCAATTTGTTTTGAATTTTCAAAGATATGTGTGGCCTGGCATTGTTATTATAGAGCACAATTTCTTATTTATTGCCGAATTCTGGATGCTTTGTTTCACGCAAGCGTTCGTATTGTGAGCAGTTATGGACTGAATTAATCATTTTCTTCAGGCTGGCGTAGCTTGTAATAGACATGTTCATTCTAATGCGACCTCAAGATTCAACATAACCTATATAACCGTATATCAATACTTTGAAGTCGTTTGTGGGCTGTCACCGACTTTTGACCATAATAGCTTGCGTTGAATATTTTCGTATAAGAATAGTTTTTTATCTTCCCTTATGATTCGCTCAGAAAGTAGTTTTATTGCGTTTTAGCAGTGCTCTTCATGTGGTACCCAAACATCGAACATCTATACTTAGTCTGCTCTTTTTAAATGATTTTAAACTACAAACATGTGGTTGACGTTTAATGCATTTGCTATCTTCTGAGAGCTTGCATATTGGCCTGGCTGTATGAGTTACAAAATTTTATTTACTTTTTTACTGACCTTTTTAGTTTTAATAATTCCGGACCTTGCACCATCGGTCTATCAAAACTAGGTGCATAATTGACATCGAATTTGCCAGAACGAAATCAAGCAAGACACTCTCGGATCCGGAGTTCGCTCACAGTATCCCCACGTGACATATTTTTCCAGATATTTCACTGTCTTTTTCACATAACTGTCTTTGGAAAAAAAAATGGATTGAAATGTAACCTTTCAAACGTGGTTTGTTTTACAAAATCAGACTAGTGTTGCTTGACATATGGGTACTAAGACCATTAAGCGATAAAAAAGGCAGATCTTTTTCAATATAACCTCATAAACTCCATATAAAAATATGCTAAATTCGATAAGTCTAAGCGTTAATGCCGCATTACATTTTAGTACCTTCAAAATGAGTAGCAGTTTATTTAAAATTTATCCAAAATTTATTAATATTTTATTATTTTTTATTTTACTTTTGACTAACCATATATTTTTTTCGTACTTACAGGTTCATTAATGCGAGACGAAGAATCGTGCAGCCAATGATAGATCAATCAAATCGTGCAGGTGAATATCTCATTTTTAAAATAAATCACTAGACATAAAATTACAAAACCAAAGTATATAATATTCTACACTAAAAACAACTCGAAACAAACTGCTTTAAGTAGACAAAAGTTCAAATTTCTGAATATTAGTAATAGAAAAAAGTGCTTGACAGCAGCAGTTTTATTTTGTCAACTTAATTAAGATACGCTAAGTGCAAATATCAAAATCCTTTTAGCTCATCGCGCTGAATTTGAGATACTCGTACATTAATGTACGCTTTTCTTCTCGATGTCAACATAAATTCAAGTAAAAATCCTGCTTTTCATGCTTAAATTACAGCACTTGAGCACTTGATTAATGACGCCGCCTTACATATGCGCCATAAACCCTAAGCTAATGTAATAGTTGCGCTCCACAATGCACTCGATTATTGTACTAGAATAATACGAAAGCGTCAGTAGTTGTTAACTAAAATGGCGATGAGTGAAGATACACAGATATTTACTTACATACGCTAACATGCATACACGCATACATATTCGTATAAAAAGCAGTAAATTAACAAAAAATAATGTTGAAGGAAAAAAAGTGATATAAACGAAATAAAAAGCTACCACAGAACACTCAAGTTTTATGTGAGAAAATTGCATTATCCTTGCGCTAACAATGACATTTCCACAAAAACTTAAACCAATGCTGGTGTCTCCCGCCACTGCCACTGCCACTGCGTCTGGTTCTTCCATTTCCCTTCTTAACAATTTCGTACATGAAGTTTTATTCCCGTCCATGGAAGAGCATAAAACTACTGCAGAAACGCATAAAGCTGATATTTTATGATGATGATGCCACACTTCACTGCAGCCAATGACAAAAGCAATTCCAGCTACTCCAATGGCAAGGACTCAACTGAAGATACTCTGCCAGGATGCTTTTACTGCATTTTTATCCTTTTGTTGTGTTGTTGTTGCTGTTGTGTTTGTTGTTGTTGTTGTTGTTTAAAATGAAATTGAAGTTGTTGTGGCTATAGCAGCTTTTATGATGACGCTTCCTTATTGTCACATCAAATGAAAATTTATTTAACTTGAAGTGGCAACTATGAGGAAAATACTGCTTTTATTTTTGTGCATATCCCTATTGTCCTTTTACCCTGTATTGCAGTTGTTGAGTTCTTCTTTAGAAACGAATAAACAATCTACTAAAATTGTTAAATTGCATTTTCATGTTATATGAACGCCCACTGAAAACTAACAACACAATCTGAAAGATACTTAAATAATAGGAAATAAAATAAATAAAATCAAAATATATAAAAAAATTTAAACAATTTAGTTCTAGTTCAATTAAAAATTTATCATTTTTTTTTTTGAAATTATAATAATTAAAAAAAAAATAATTCAAACAACCTTGTTTTTATTTCATTAAAAAACTTTTGAAAAAAAATTTAATTTATTTAATTTCAATAAAATATTTTATAGTTTTTTTTTTGTAAATTATATTTATTTAAAAATGAATATTTTTTTAATTCAGTAAAAAAAATTTAATACTCTATTTCAGCAAAATTAATTCAAGAAAAAAAGGTTTTTAAACATATTCTAATTAAATATAATTTACAAAAAAAAAATTATAATGTTAAACACACACATATATATACCTATAATTATTTTTTACTAAGATTAAAGTTTAAGATAATTTTAAGTGATTTTATCTTATCTGGATACAATTTTATTAGTTAAATTTACTTAATTAGATTATTTTGCAGTTTATACACCACATGCTGGCCCCTCAGGTTACGGTCATGACGCTATGGGCTACATGATGGACAGTCAAGCGCATATGATGCATCGTCCGCCAGGCGATCCTGGTTTTCATCAAGGTTATCCACATTACCCACCTGCCGAGTATTATGGTCAGCATTTGTAATTGAGCACGCTGAAGTGAGCAATTCACAATGGAGGCGGTACCAAAATCATAGTAAAAATATAAATAGTTTAAATAAAATCTGAATATAAAATATACATATTATATATATTATGTCTAAGAGCAGAGATATATGTATGTATAAATAAATAAATACATTAAATAAACCTACGCAGAATTTGTAATATAAATAAAACTACTAAATATTAACAAAAAGAAGAAGAAAAAAAACAGAAAATAGTGAAATATCAAATTCAAGCTAATTTAGCAATAAAACATATAAAATTAAATACAATTTAAACTAAAAAAATAAAATAAAATGGAAAATTATAAGAAAGAATATCAAATTTTATAACTTTAATAACACAAGTGGCATGTACAACTACAAAACAACCCGGAACTTTCTTCAAAATAACATTTATGATATATGGAACAAAATTTTTTTTTTCACCACACTTCGAAACCGAATTTCACCACAAGAAGGCAACCAAGTCACATTTTTGGCAGAACATTAATTTATTTTGCAATTTCAAAAAAACAACTCAACTATTGCAGATGGTGGATTTTGTGCAACAAGAAGGTGAGTTCTGATATTTTAATTAATAATATAATAAATTAAATATTATCATAACTTTTTATATAATTTAGTCATTTTTAGACAGCTCTTTAATTATTTATTTATAGTATATGCGGTTAATACTATTAATTATTCGAATTTATTTATATAATTACTCTTTTATTAATTTCATGTTTACATAGATAATTACTATAGCCTTTGCGGTTTTGTTCCTCGTAATAGTTAGTTTTTCTAAATTATAATTTATTGTTAATTCTATTATTATTATTGTATTGTTTTTTTTTTAATTTTTACTATATAAAATTAATTTTTTATGTATATGTTTTTCTATTTCCAGCATTCACCAAGTGTAAGGCGCTTCCCAGTGTACAATATCTACATATATTTCATGATTGAAAAATCTATATAACAACTTTCTATTACACTGAGAAAAATCATTGTTAAATAATAAAAAATATTAAAACTAAAGACAACTTTTGGCTAAAACGAATTTCATTTTTGTAAAAATAAATCTTTATAATATAAACTACGGATAAAATATTTTTAAATTTTTGTTATTTGTTGAAATTTAAAAATTAGACACAAAACCCTAAACCCAAACAAAAATGTTAATCATTATTTGTGATCTTTGTATTTATAATTCTTTTAAAAAAATGTTTAAATAAAAATAAGTAAAATGTTGTACAGTCCTGATATCAAGTAATTATCCAAAACAGAGGACATTCACAGGACAACAAAACTCACAGCAAAATATTTTGAACACAAAAACTAATTAAAACCGAAACTGATCTCCTTAAGGCGGTTTGACAGAAATTTTACTTTAAAAAAAAAACTATTTCAAAAAGGTGGCAAT